AGCTCGAATTCTGACTGTTCCAATTTGCATGTGGGTGACCTTAGGCAAGGTGCTTAACCTCTCTGAGCTTCTGCTTCCTCAAGGGGGAGAACCCCAGAGCTTGCCTTGGAAGATCAGCACAGGTTGAAATACTCAAGGAGAGCACGAAGTCGTGTGTCTGGCCTGATGACTGCCAACCTTTCCCATGACAACAGTGACAACAAACAGCAAGAAGTCAGGCTTCCTGCAAACTCAACCACCGGATTCACCTCCCAGAACCCAGAAGTGAGTGTCTCTTAGCAGCAGAAATGTAGCTGTGAGCTGCTGGGGAGAGCGGGGGTGGCAGGGACACCAAGCATGGATCCAGCCCCAACCCCAACCCCAAGGACAGATGGAGACAGCTGGAAGGTGATGAGGTAGAGGGCCTGCCCCTGAGCCTCAGCTTTGCTAGCTATTAGTGGTGAGCTTGGACAAGCTATTTCACCTCCCTCAACTTCTTCATCTGTAAAATGGGGAGCTTGATCCCTACTTCTTTCAGGCAACAAGGATGCGAAGGTTGAAAGGAATGCAGATAGAGCTTCTAGAAGGGCTCAACTTGGAACCTGAAAGCCCTCATCAGTGCAAAGAGTTGAGCCCCAGAGAAAGACAAGCAAAGGGCTCTTGAGCAGAGAGATGGGGCTGAAACCCAAGAAGGAGGTATGAAAAAAGGGGCAGGAAGCTGGGTCTTGACACCCAGCCCTTGTACCTTGTCTGCCTCTCTCTTGTCCTTTCCTCATCAGCTGGGGCTCATCCCTGCTGCCACTGGTGCCCCATCCACGCCAGCCTTCCTGGCTGGGCTCCAGGCTCATCAGAAGCCCTATCCCTCCAGATATGCCCTCAGCAGCTGATTGGGAGGAAACGGAACTCAATGGGGTTTCCATTCACACTGAGGGGTGAGTGACTCACTGCAGCTGGGAGCCCAAGGACAATCCTTCTCCCCACTAACCGCTGACAAAAAGTAGCTTCTGCCTTTCAAATGAATGAAGCCTTGATGTTGGAATTTCAGTGGGTGAAAAACCTTCCTAGCCATCATCCCTCCATAGGCATCAAGGACACTCCAAAGATGGGGGTCAAATGAATCACGAAGTCATGAAAAGAAGGAGAGTAAGGAAAGAAAAGAGATAAACACTAACTGTCTTCAAAGTAGACACACACACAAACACTAACTGTCTTCAAAGTAGACACACACACACACACACAAAATCTCCATTAGGCACCTGCTGTGCGCAAGAGGAGGGTGATGCTCTCCCTGAGTTTTTCTGAAGGAGCCATGGCCCTTTAAGGAAACTGGTACGGACAGGAGCCTGAAATTACTGTGCCTGAAATAAGTATTACGTAAATGCCAATTTCTTATGGGCTTTTTGTATGTCTCTCTTTTTAAAAAAAAATGTATCATATATAATGGGTTCTTTCTGCAGAATGCAGCCTCTACTTAAACTCTATCTTAATTAAAGCTCGTTATGGATTAAAGACGCAACAGCAATTATACCTTAGACTCTAATACATTTGGCAGAGGGCGGGGAGCTGGACAGGAACAATTGCTCATTACACTTTATTCTGGAATCCACTGTTCCAGGCTGGGGGTGGTGGGCTGGGCCCCAAGAGGGTTGCCCCTGAAGAGGGTCGCTGCGGGTGGAGGGGAATGTAGGTCTGGACTGAATAGAAGCCTGCACACTCTCTCTTGCCACCAGCTGTCTGCTCTCCTGGCTGTCTCTGCATTATACCTAGCAAGGGTACATCAGACCTGGGAGGATACTAGAGATTTGCCAAACTCTTTCTCCATCCAGAGAAAGAGCCTAAGGTCCAGAGTGGTGCAGGGCTGCACTAGGGCACTGAGCATGAGGAAGGGGAGGTTCAGGTGATGCTGGGATGTAGGGTGGCATGGATAAGGTATGGGGGCAGCATACAGAGTGAGTGTGCGGGGCCACCCATGCCACTTCTTTCTCAGTGTCTCTGCCTGGATAGGGCCTCTGCCATCCTTCTGGTGCCCAGCCCCATCCAAGTCCCTACTGAGGACTTACTAGGAGCACAAGGATGATGGGTCCCTGGTATATGTAGTCCACCAGGTCACCGGGCTCCTTGCCAAACCAGCACCTGCAAAGATGGGGTGGCTGTCAGAGGCTGCTGAGCTGGAATCAGGAACTGCCCCCCCACCCCAGACTTGGGCCCAGGATCCTCTGGCTTGACCCTTCCTGAGACCCAACCTCCAGGGCTGCCCCTTCCTTTCTAGCCTTGGTGGACATCCCCAGCCCCACTGACCACCCTGGCCTGCCCCTGGGCTGTCTTTTGCTCTACATGGTGGGTCTGATCTTCCCAGCCAGAGTGAGGACAGACCCTGGGGCTCCTCCTCCGTTCCCTGCCTCACTGCAGACCACTGGGCGCAGGGCTGGGCATGCAGGAGGCACAGGAATGAAGGGAGAGCTGGGCTCCCCCTCGCTGGCCCAGAGCCAACAGCATGGGCCACCTGTTCCCGCATTGCTCAGAACCCTCCTCTTTGTGTGCCAGATGCTCAGCGGCACAAAACAGCAGGTGTGGAGGTGATGCCTTCTCCCGCCCCAGCCCCGGTTTGTAGGTCTCTGAGCTTAGCTGCATGCCTCCAGCAAAGGGAACCCGCCCCCTGGCTGGCTGGCTGCCCTTGCTGGCTGCCAGAGGCTTGGTTTATTCTCTGGGGATGTTGGCCAGGGGGAGAAGCTTTAGGGTCCAGAGGAAAGACTGGGCCAGGGCCCAGACCGGGACTACTGCCTTCTGGGAACTCTGTCTTCTGAAACCTCAGAGATCATCCAGTGCACACCTGCCTCAAACAGGTGTGTCCCCGGCTGCCTCCAGCATCAGGGTTTTTGGTGTCTGCTTGAATACCCCCTTTGACAGGAAGCTCACTACCTACTAAGGTAGCCCTCTTATTCATGAGTAGCTTTTACCTTCACAAGCTCTTCCTAAGAGAAGAACTCTACCTCATTCCTGCCCCCACCTTCCAATTCCATCTGCTCTCTCCAGAGATCCCTTGGAGATATCCATACAGGGACTGATATGCTCCCCAGTCCCCTCTTCTCTCAGCTGGTGGCACCTGACTGGCCCATGGCCGGGGTTGCTGTCATCTGGGCCGTTGCTCAACACATCACAGTCTCTGGTACAAGGAAGACCCCAGGATGAAACACTATACCAGGCAGAGACTGGGATTTCAGAAATAACAAGCTCTGCCCAGACTCTGTTAAATGCTCATGGCCATGGCTTTGGATGCTGTGTGCACCGAATGCCCTGCAACCTTGGCCTCTTCTATATACCTGAGGCCAGACCTGGCACATCCAACTCCAAGCAGGAGGACTTCTCAAATACCACGTGGGGCACTTCAAGAAACCACAATTCCTAATTGAATTAAATGAACAGAGTTGCCTTGAGACTTACATATGAGTTCTTCTGGGTGCAGGGACAACTTTGGCGATTTAAGGCCAACAGGAAAGTGGCCCTGTCCAGGTGTGGCTACAACCCCTGCCCTGTGGCTTGGCTGGAGCCCAAGGCTGACCTGTCCTAACACAACCACCCCACGAACCCCCCCCCATAGCTGGACTGTCCCACTTACTGTTCATTCTCATAGTAGAGTTTGCCGATGGCCCAGGCAACAATGATGGGACAGGGGACACCTGAAAGGACAGATAGACATGGGCTGCAGTGGACAGAGGGACAGGGATCATCCATGACCACAGGGGTTACTGTCCCTAGACCCTGCCCCTCTCGTCTTCCACTCTCAGTCATCTCTCCAAGCAGGGGTGGTATGATTTTCTGAGGGTTTGTGATAGAGAGGTAGAGTCAACCTGTTTCTCCTTCGAAGCCAGAGACAAAGGTCTTTGGATCGATTGTTGTGGGTGGGGGAGAGGGGCCTTTTGGGGGACATCCTCTAGAGGAATCCTTTGCTTCTTCCTCATCAGCATGGAGAGAAGCAGCTGATCCTCAGGCCTGCACTGGGGATGGCAGCCAGGCTCTGGCCTTGGGCCCAAGATGTCAGCAGCCCCCTCTCCCCCCAAGGCCCTGCTGCCCCCGGGACCCTCACACCATCCGATGAAGAGGAAGAGCCACTTGCGCAGGCGCTCGGTGGAGTAGGTCATGACGATGGCCGTGTGCAGGTAGCAGCCCTCCACAAACATCCAGAAGAAGTTGGTCACCACAAAGTAGTTGAAGATGGTGGTGATGCAGCGGCACCAGACCTGTGCGGGGTAGGGGCTGTCAGGGGCTGCTGGGGTCAGGGCAGGACATTCCCATCCCAGGCAGGGCAGTGAGACACGGGGCTTCCCAAAGGGGTTCACGGACATGGCCCCAAGTACCATGAGGCTCCACTCTGAGAAGGCTCCTCCTTTACCAATGTGCTCTCACACTTTCAAATTAGGAAGCCATTCTCCACTGGATGTGTGTGTGTGAACTGCTCTCCAACTCTTTCTAATTCATTTTTTAATAAGGAAAAAGGGAGTCTGGCTTTCTGCAGGCAGAGGCTGGAAGCGAACAACTTTATTGTGTTTCCAATGTAATTTTAAAAAATTCAATGTAATTTCAATCCGCAGCAAGTCAGACTTATTTCCATTTAGGGATGGAAAATGAAATTTCATTGAGAAAGAATGGGGGGAAAAAAGTGAGTCAAGTAAGTCAACGGTAAATGAAGGTGGGGGCCATAGTCATGGAGGGGATTTTCCAAAGGCCCTGGGTTTTGGAAAATTCTAGACTTGGCATGATCATTACTGGCTCTGGAGGAGGACTCTCACACTGGGGGGCCTCTGGTAGGTCGCTGGACCTCCCTGAGCCTCACGGAACAAACCTAGCGTTGTCAAAAGCGATGATGGTTGGCAAAGGCAGAAACCAGCAAAGGTGTGCTATTGCCTGGTTGTAGTTTTCCCAGCCTTCCCAGCAGAGCGGCATGTGTCCCTGTCCCTCTGAGCAAGGCTACTGTCCTAAGCACCTTGCAGGATGCAGGGAGGGGAAGAGTCTGCCCAGAGCCACACAGTGGCCATGGCAGAGCCACAGTCCAGGCCTCAGGACCCCAGGCCAGAGCTCCTCTCAACAGACCCTACCGGGTCATCTGCGCCATGGGCTCATCCCCAGGGCATCCTTGGAGCTGAGGCTAGGACAGGGAGAATGAGAGAGGCAGGTGGGGGTCAGGGCAGTCTTGCAATGAGGACCTCCCTCCTCTGCAGACAACCCGTCCCCTCCCCATTTACCTCTCACCGCCCTGGTTCTTAGACGATTTTCCCGGTTCAGGTGCTAGCTGATCCGTGGCTCCCGCCCAGGGTCCCAGTCGTGATCTCACCCCTCCCTTTGTTCTAGAAAGTCCTGCTGAGGTAGGAAGCTAAGAATCCCTCCTCCTCAGCCTGCCTTTCCTCCACGTTTAATGATGGCTTATTAGTGCAAGCCCACGTTGGAGCTGAAGACACCCCCAGTTGGATTCATCTTGGTATAGAGGCACCTCCAAGAGGGGCCAAGGCAGGGATCAAGCCAGGCTGGTGTCTGCTGAGGTCCAGGCCATCCAGAAAAAAATGTACTGAGAAGTTGTGATGGCTGTCAACGAGCTCTGTATTGGCCCCATGTTTGGCTACAATTTTACAGTGCCTCAGGCACAGTACACAGCAGGTACACAAATGCAGGGTGGACAGCCAACACACGGGCTGACCCATGACAGAGAGGTGTCGTCACAGCCTGTGACCCTAGCGAGCCACTGAGCCTCAGTTTCCATGTCTCTGTAATGGGGAAAATGATCTCTTGTTGAGATTAAGTGAGACAAAGCTCAACAGAAGTTAGTTCCAGCCTCCTTTTCCCCAAGAGGTCTTTTGGGGACCTGAACTCATAAAATGAGGTATGGATGGAATGGGTGAAACCTAAGTCTGAAGGCAGGCTGGGCGCCCCAAGCCCCTGGCCCGGCAGCCTTCTGCCCTTAGTGGGATGTGCTGGGGCGGAGGTGAGCGGGTTTTGTGCCTGAGTGCTAGGCAGAGAGGTGGGTGCCCCCCAGAGCTCCCTGGTCTAGCCTTGAGTCTCCCCAAGCAGCGACCTCATTGCTCTCATGCACTTCGTGGTCGATGAGCTGCAGCAGGAACCACATGATGTTTCGCAGGATGAAGGTGGCGATAAGGTTCCAGTGGATCACGTTTCGCAGACAGCGGATGCTCCTGCAGAGGCCAGGCCAAGGGGTCAGTCCGGGGCAGGAGCCAGCTGAGGGCACGGGTCTCTGGGTCCAGGCTGCCCCTGAGACTAGGTAGAGACTCAACCAGGGGCAAGGGCATAATCACCCTGGGAGCCAGTCCCCACCCCCATGGGGACCACAGTTGGGTCTCTCAGATCCAGCACCCTACATGCTTGCTGGTGGTCTGTCCCCTGCACCCTTCCCTAAACCGCTTTGATCCGTGGCTCCTGGGCCTCCGGGGTGGAGGGCAAAATATCTAGGAAAGAAGGGTGGGAGGGTGGACTCACCGCAGGGCCAGGAAAAGCAGAAAGGCGGCCACCAGGGCTGCCACGGAAACGCAGTGGCCCAGGTAGTTGACAACGAGGGCAACGCGGTAGTGCAGGTCGTACTTCCTCTGCTGGACAGACAGACATGTGGGCCCATGGGGCTGGGGCTGGACACTGTGGCTGTGGCCACCTCTGTGTGTCCTGGCCTCAGTGAGAGAAGTAACTCCAAGTGTCATCAGCATGCCTGGCTCTTGGAGCTCGCTTTTGTTGGCCCCAGTGGCTCTTGTCATTATAAGCAACTGTGGTCAGGCCTCTAAAAAAATTTTTTTAGAGTCAAGGTGTCACTATATCACCAGGCTGAAGTGTGGCGGCTATTCACAGGTGCAAGCATAGCTCACAGCAACCTTGAACTCCTGGGCTCAAGCAATCCTCCTGCCTCAGCCTCCCAAGCAGATGGGAGTACAGGTGTGCACCACTATCCAGCACCAACATGCATTTTTGGTGGGCATGTTTGGAGAGGTGTGGGTACAGATTCTTTTTTAAAAAAATTCTAGACACTACAGTGGCACACCTGGTTTAGTCTCAGCTCAGATTCTAGCAGGCTGAGCAACTGAGGGTGAACTGATTTCTGTCTTGGGGCCTCGGTCTGCATGAAGAGGCCAACTGGTCTTCCCGCCTCAGAAGTAGTGACCCATGGGAGGCCTGGGGGGGGTGCATTGAGCTTCATCTGCCGAGGGTACAGCAATAAGGGGGGTACACTGTAGAGAGTGCAGGGATACTATTCAAACAGACTAAAACCATCTCTTTTTGTTAATCACCACATGATGGCAATTCTGAACAAAGACAGTGATGAAATACTCCTTCCTGCCAGGGTGGGCCGCCCCCCACTTTGGTTCTCTGCTGCTGGAGGGGTTGTGAGAATGGCCAGGTGGGGACAGAGGCTGGAGGGAGCCTCTTTCTCTCCAAACCTTAGGGGCCGTGCTGCCTGCCCCTCTCATGACCCTCCCTCCCTGCAGAACCCCCATGGCTCATGTTTTTTTGTTGTTGTTTGTTCGTTTTTGAGTTGGAGTCTCACTCTGTCACCCAGACTGGAGTGCAGTGGCCGCTCCCGGCCACCGCAGCCTCGACCTGCTGGGCTCCGGCAATCCTTCCGCCTCAGCCTTCCAAGGAGCTGGAACTACAGGTGCGCGCTACCACGCCCAGCACATTTTTTGATTTATTGTAGAGATGAGGTCTTGCCAAGTTGCCCAGGTGGGTCACGAACCCGCGGGCTTAGGCAATCCACTCACCTCAGCCTCCCAAAGTGCAGGATTACAGGCTGAGCCACCGAGCCTGGCTAATGGCTCATATTTTGCAGAATCACTTTCTCAGGGTGGGCAAATGTGTTTCCCTCTGAACTTGGGCTTCGTTTGGGAAGAAGTTCCAGCCCCACTGAGGACTGTGTTGGGCAAACGAGGAGGGGTGGAGCTGGGACGCATCACAGGGGTCAGGAATAGGGCGCAGCTGCCAAGGGAAAGAGGCTGGCACCCTGGCAGCACTGAGTTCAGTTCCAGAGCAAGAGCCAGAGCAGGGATGGGGAGCCTGAGTGGGCCCTAGCTCTCCCCAGACACTGCACTTGTGGGGCTGCACCTGTGTCCATGTGGAGTCACAGAATCGGAATGCCAGATGGGGAAACTGAGGCTCAGAAGAGGAGGAAGGTACACAGTCACACAGCCTATTTGATGTTAGCGAGTACTGGTTACATGGTCATTCCCTTTCTGTGTCACATGCCACCTTGGCTCTGTCTCCCAGCAGCTCAAGATCTCCTGAAGGTGGGACTCCATGTCCCCTTCCCCACCCCCTCCCGACAGTGTCACTGAGCACAGGGCAGAAAACTAGGCCCAGGGGCAGGGGGAACAGAAAGGAGTGACTGGGTGACACAAAGATTGGTTCTGCCACCCTTGGGACCCTCTGTGCTCAACCTGAGTCCTAATACCTGTGTGAGGACCAGGCTGGGGCAGGTGGGGGCCACTCACCTTGTCATCCAAAATGGGCTCACACTGGGAGTAGTTGATCCTTGAGGCCCATGTCCCATTCTCCAAGCATTCTCGGTAGGCATTCCCTTCAAAAGAGACCAACCACCAAGAGTCAGGTCACTCCCCTCCTCAAGAACCCTCCCTGGCTCATCAGTGCCCACAGGATAAGATCCACACACCTCAGCTCCCCTGGGCCAGGAGACATAATGTGTATCTGAAGGTTTACATGCAAGTCATTTATGTGAAAACAACACAAAAGGCTTATCTTATACAACAGCTAAAAGGCATGCTAACACCCATTTCAGATACAATCTTTGACTAGTGTTTTGTACACTTCCTTTCATTCTCTTCCTTTACTTTAAGACTGAATCTGACTGTGAGCCCTAGGTTGTGAAGAGTCACTGCTTTCAGCATGCCAAATAAGCCACATCCTGATCTCAATCATTTTATATTTATGAGATCTGGAATTCTTTTCACCACCACCAGCCCTTCTCGCTTATCTACCACGTACATAGCATGTGTTTACCAGGTACGAGGTCCTCTCCTAACTGCCTGAGACGCACTTGGCTCTTCAGTCCTTCAAACCACCCTTGAAGGTAGGTACTAGCATCACCCCATTTCACAGAGGAGGAAACTGAGGCACAAAGACATTAAGCTACTTGCCAAGGATACAAAGATGACAGGAAGATTCAGACACAGATGGCCTAGCTTCAGGTCTTATGTCTTTAGCTTTCAAGCTATCGAGTCATAGTAAATAGGAGTGAGAGAAATCTGGGAACACAGGGCTGTGCCGCTGCCCTTGAACTGCTGCTGCCTGGGAGACCATCATGTGATGACTCTCAGTGTTCGAGAACCAGCCTCCCTATCAAAGTTGGAACGTGACGTGTGAAAAGACACTTCACAGCATCAGTGTCCCACACACAAAAATGCAGGTTTTATCAAAAAGGAATGTATGGGCCAGGCTCGGTGACTCAGCCTGTAATCCCAGCACTTTGGGAGGCTGAGGTGAGTGGACTGCCGGAGCCTGCAGGTTTGAGACCTGCCCGGGCAACTTGGCGAGACCTTGTCTCTACAATAAATCAAAAATTAGCCGGGCATGGTAGCGTATGCCTGTAGTTCTGGCTACTTGGAAAGCTGAGGCGAGGGGGTCGCCGGAGCCCAGGAGGTCGAGGCTGCGGTGGCTGGGAGTAGCCACTGCACTCCAATCTGGGCGACAGAGTGAGACTCCAACTCAAAAAAAAAAAAGGGAATGTAAGATGGTTGAAAATACTCATACTTGCCTTTCTCTCTATCTTAGCTCTGATGGCCACAGTCTAGGTCCTAGGCCACCCCCTCCAGCAGAACCCACCCACCTGAGAAGGCCTGGTCTCTCTCTGCCAGTCTCTGCTCTGCCTTACATCCTTACCGTGTTTCTGACCTCCTCCACTTAATTACAAATTCTGAATGATCCATTGTATGGGAGTGCTTTGTACCAAGGTTCTGCTCTCTGGCAAACGGTCAGGCAGCTGTCTGTGGATGTTTCTTTGGGGCTTATGTTAGATATGTGATATAAAGCTAATTAAAATAGATAGCTCACAGAGCACAGAATCACAGAGCTGGAGGGAGAACCTGAGATTGTTTTTGGAAGCAGTGAGTTCTGAAATAATTAAGTTACTTAAAAACCCAGTTCCGTTGAGCTGGTGAGTTAAAAGCAATGGAATTATTAAGGAGCACTTGCCGAAGAGCAAAAACAATGGGGGAGATTCTATTAGCTTAATTGTTTTTTAATTTGGTGCTCCGAGCTCATGGATTTTTCAAACTCAGAATTGTTACTGGCCTGTTTCTACCTTCCGGGCCAAGGCCCATCTCTGGTGGGCCCTGCCCTCCGCAGCCCGGTGAGTCAGTCTGGGGAATGCCTGGTCTAATACTGATTCTGACTCCCAGCAGGAGACCTGCTCTCACCGCTGCAATGGCATCCCACTCTCCAAGTAGGTCTGCATTTGACACACAGGACAGTCGTTCCCCTTGACATTCATGCTCCTGAAAGGGAGGAGCTACCTCAACAGGCAAGGGTCAGTGATGCCACTGGACTAAAGGAGAAAAGGTTCTGGGAGGGTGAGTTCTCTTGTGAAATGCACAAACCCTTCCAGATAGGGGTTTACAGTCCCTCTGAGTAGGCTTGTGTGAGGTGAGACACACCTTGATCCTGGCTGTAGTTTAAACAGCAAAAAAATGTACATCCTATGTGTTCATAGATGTTATCTAGCTTTCCTAAAGTTTAGCACTAGGCATCTTCCTCCAGGAAGACCGCCTTGATTGCTCCAATCCCACAGCGTGCGTGTTTTTTCTCTCTCTCTCTCTCTCTCTCTCTTCCCTGAGCTCCCCGAGTCCTGACCACTTGAGCCCCACACTCTAGCCTTTACCTCATGGCCAGCTCTGATTTGTCCAGGTGTCTGGTCTCTGACTGGGGGGAAACTCCTTAAGGAGAGGCCTTAGAATACTTGTCTCCCAAATATGAGATCTCGTGGTGGCACTGATTATGGGATGGGCTTGCAGGATAGAAACACTGCCGATCACAGACCTTTCCTGTCCTTTGTACCAATGCCCCTGGGGTCCCAAGCTCTGTGGATTCTGTCTCCTCCTTCCCTTCTCCAGGAATCTGCTCCCTCCTGCCTGTCCCCCCGCCCCAGAATTCTTGTCTGGACTGGCACAACAGCCTCCTGTCTCACTCCCTGCTTCTCCTGCTTCCCTGAGCATGTTGATTTCTGCTTCAAAGTCATCAATGGCTCTTCATTGCTCTTGAGAATAAAGACCAACTTTCTTGGCATCACTGACAAGGCCCTTAACACCTGGGCCCCTGCTTAACTTTCCTGACCTGTCTCCACACTCTATGTGGCAGCTGGCACTTGCACGAACAGGCCTGGCACATACCCCTCCATGTGCTGATCTGTCCCTTGAAGCATCTCCTCACTCTTTCTCCTGTGGCCCACAGACAAACTCCCACCTGTTAAACTCCCACTCAAACACCACCTTCTCCACGGAGCCTCCCCCAGTCTCTTTGAAGCTGGGGCTGAAGCAATCTCTTCTTTTCCTCCCTTATGCCTTCCCACCTACTTCTCCTTTATGGTCCTTGAGTCACAAAACATATACATTTTATATCATAATCCAACACACACACACACACACACACACACACACACACACACACACACACACACGCAAATCCGGTTTCACAAAGTTAGAGTTTTCTTGACCACAGCTGTACGATTTTTCTCCCTAGTCTATTCTAATGTCTTCTATTTGTTTCATGTTACAAATGCTGGTCATGACCTACTAAATGGACTTCACAGTCCACTATTGTGCTGCAATCCATAGTTTGAAAAACAAAAATCGACTTTAGAGCATTTGCCATCATTCGCTATGAACTTCGTCTCTTCAGACCTGATCCTTGTCTTCTTTGCTAGTGGACTTGATCTCCCTGGGGACAGACAAGAAGTACACAGAGACCACGTTGGAGTCACAGAAACCCTGTCAGGAGTGAGCCATCAACTGCACCTGGGCTGAATGGAATTGACTCAGACCTGCTGAACTGAAGCAGGGAGTGAGATGAGGGATGTGGAGGTGGAAGGGGGCTTCCCTCTGGAGCCATAGCCCGGCCTAGGTTTGAGATTCTGCCACTAGAAGACTAGAAGACAGATGTGTCCAGCACTTCAGGGGAGCTGTCTGCTGTAGCTAATGAGGGTGCCGAGCCCTCAGGCACAGCTTTGAACAGGAGAGAGTAAGAAAGCCCCCACCCACCCCTGGGAACCATGGAAGGATGAGCACAGAAAGTCTGAGGGCAGGCAGCCAGACCAAAATCGTGGGATTGGATGTGGAGAGCTGGGTGCCTGTTACCACAGCAACACAGGTACCCCTGGTGGGGATCGATGCTGAGGGTGTGCAGTGTGACATTCTAGGGGCATTAGGGTCAGCAGGATGCAGGCAGGGTCTTCTCTTACAGGGCTCTGTGGCCCTGGCCTGTCAAAAGTCCTCATTACAATGGGTTCTCCCCCTTTACATGCTGACACTTTGAGAAGAGTTACTGGCTTACACAGTTTCCTGGGGTGGTCCTGAAGCCTGGCTGGCAGATGGGAGCCTATATTCCAGTTGTAGTTTTGTCTCTGGATGACTAGGTGAGCATGGCTAAGTCCCTTCCCTCAGTTGGGCAGAAAAAGTATAGTAAATTGGCTCTCAACAATGCTATTGTCATCTCAGGTGGATTGATTATTTGTTGTGTGAGCCTCTCCAATCTACTTCATGATGTCAGCACGCCCAGGCCGTTGTGGCAACCCCAAGCACCCATGCATCACTTTCAAATGCTCCCTAGGTTGGCAATTCTATGTTTGATGTTCTCCTTGGAGGGGCCCAGGCCATGGGAGACAGGGACCATTGCTGGTGGTAGTTTTGGGGGAAAGAGTGTAAGAGACAGGCTGGGGATGGAGGAAGAGTGAGTGGGACTGTGGTGGGGCCATTAGCTATCTGGAAATAAAAGGACATGAAGTGACAGAGAGAAGGTGATGGCAGAGAGGTGGGGAAGGCCAGTAGCAATATATACTGAAGGAATGAGGTCACCGCATGGGCCCAAAACTTTCAGCACCACGGACAGTGGCACCAACCCCATCTCCCATTGCTCCTGTCTCTGCAGGTGGGGACCTTGGAGAGCTCCTAAGAACCAACCTGGCATTCAGACCATGGGCCTGGGACCAGCCCAGGGAGTTAAAGCTAACTCCAGCCCCAGGCCCCACAGAGGGCTTCTATGACTGCTCCAGCCCCCCGAGAGACCAGCTGCTTGCTTGTGCCTGGTTCACACGGGGCTGGGACTGCTCTCTATGACCCTGTAAGGGGCCATGCTTTCCCTATCAGCCCAGGGGATCTTGGAATGGCTTACCTTCTTTGGCACAGGTTGAGAGCCCTTAAAGACAAGTCCTGTGTTGCCTGCATCTCTGGCCCTTCCTAAGCACTGCACAGAGCTGAGCACACAGAGGCCTCGGGATGGGCTGGGCTGCTGCTGCTGTCAAGGTTATGGGGGAATTCATTGAGGGTGAGAGACTTGGAGTGGGACAGGAGG